TCGTCTTCGTCGTCGTCCTTGCCGATGCTCTCAACCATCGCCCGATTTTATTCAGTCATTTCATTTTAAATGGTTTTTTTCTTCTGTGTTTGATCATCGCTTTTTTTCACTTCTTTGTACTGGAAGCAAAAAGCTTAACGCTGTGCGTTGTAACGTTTGGGTTTTCGGTGTATTCTCAAATCTGGCGAATTTTGCAGGCGCTGCACGATTGCTGTTGTTTGTAATGTCGTAAAGAACTTGCTAAGGAAAAACAAGTTATCGAACGATAAAAAGATCTCTTTTTTTCTCCCTCCCTTTTTCTCTCGGTTACAAGCATTATTCTATGAAAATGACTTTGGTTCGACACTTTTCGGACAACATATAGGATGAACATGCGGAATAGTTGTCCACTATCGTTGCCATTTTTCATTATTTCAGTCACCCAGCATTTTTTGTTGTTCATGTTCACCTCTCTGCTTTTACATGTGATGGCAAAAATAACGAACACAAACACACAGAGTACTTATATTCCATAGGGCTGACTGTATTCGGTGCAGGATAGTTATATAGTTGTCGACGGGACGAGATTGTTGGAAAAGGTAGCAAAGTGAGTTGAGGTTCTCTCTTTTATTCTTGCTTCATATCTACTGACGTCATATTTGTACGATTTGGTCGACATGACGAAGTGAATCAGCGTATTGCTGCAGGTATGATGATAATTCCATGTCGGATCATACGAAAGCTCGAAAACGAAAGGATGTGGATGTCTTCAACTGCTCCTGTACAAGCAATATATGTGTAATACACATTGTGTATGCACTGCTGGTGCTATTGTCACAAATCAAATGTACATAAGACGTGCAGAACACACGTAATTGTTGTTTGAGGAAGAAAAAAAAATGAGAAGCACACATACGTGAACAGGAAGCGATATAAGAAAGCTACTAGTGTTCAGTAAAGCTGCTCAGCTTCGGAAGGAATTGAGCACTGAGATTGGTGCAAAAACCAAGCAGCAGCAGCAGGAATATAATCAAAAGCTACCGTTACCATTCAACACTCGTTCCGAACCTGCCTTTTCTATGACGGAACATCCATTCCGTGTCTGCATATGACTCAGTGGTTGAGAGCATTTATCTACGGCACAGTTCGTTAATTGTTGATTTTCGTGTTCGCTTTTCTTCCACAAAAATATCCATATATTCCATACAGCTCGAGCCATCGTCTCTATTTTATATGACACACTCAATTCAATGCATGCTGCATTATTGCCATTTTTCATCGGCTAATGTGCTTCGTTACTTCTTACATTCTATCTCTGTGTGCTTTTTTTTCTCTTCTCCTTTGTACGTCGTACCGTCGTGCAAAAATGGTTCGTTACTTGAGCGTAGATAAAACGTAGCCACTTTCCGTAGTCGGTGTGCCGTGTCAGTCGATTTCGGAAACAAAGGATTTGTTTGCATTCAAACTCTGGAAACTCATTTTCAGAACAACAACAACAACACCAACAAAAACCACACAATTGCAAAGCTGATTAACGGAAAATGCTTTTCCCTTCGATTTCCTTAATTTCTCGTGTTTCTCTTTTGTCCAGATTTTTATCGCTCCATTTTTTATTTGCCACAATGAACATACATACATATATGTATCACATCACATTTCAGCTGAACATAAAAATGCAGCGCTTTTATGAATTATAGTGTTCGCCACCCACTACAAAAAATGAACCGTCTGAAATTTAAGCAAAAATTCCATAATTTTCAATACAATGTAACCATTTTTGTTCAGTTCACTCTTCGTAGTCGATTGGTTTTATGGCATTTTTCAATGCTGAACCAAGTCCGTAGAACGATGAAAAGGGTGCGAAACACAAAGTAAATCCGTTGTTGGTACCACCTTTGGCTCCGGTTATTCATGTGTAATCGAATTGCAAACGGGGGAAAATCCAGTTTAAGTGCTGAAAACTTTTATGATTACAAAATTTTTCTGAACAACAAATGCAGCACACACCACGATAACCGCCATAATTTTCTTTATTTATGGTGATTGTTTGTGCTATTTTGCCATCGACCAGATCATAAACTGATACAGTTAATGAGGCAATGCAATGCAAACCAACCGACTTGGGTCGACTGTATTTTTGGGTCAATGCAAACGAGAGAAAAAAAACTGAAACATAGTGGCAAAATCGGATGAAATCCATAAATAATCAAAATCCAATTTGTTACACGTCGATTTCTGTAGCAACAGCATACACAACGAATGGAAAATGGACTCGACCTGATTCGTCCATTTTTCCATCTTTAAAAAAATATATACTAAAATCATCGTCAAACAAGTGAGTAAACCTTTTTTTCTCGGCTCTGATATTGTTGTTTCCTCTATCGAGCGACAACATTGTTGTTGCATGCACAATTTGCTGGTGTTGCGGATGGGCGAAAAATCAACCATCATTTATGGAATGGTGTTTTATGGAACGGCTGTGACATGGGTTTTATTGTGTATTGCGTATGCCTCCTTTTTGTTTTCCATCGGGTGTATAAAATATATGACAAAAACATTTATCAGTCTCACATCGTCATTCGTCACCAGCAGTCACATCCGAGCGTATACAGCGAGATAGAAAAGGAGAGAGTGAAAGATATATAGTACTATATATGCATACAGTGCGCACTCGATGTGAATATATACGTAAATGTGCGAATAAATAAGTGTGAGAGTGCAAAATATGCTTGAGTCGAGGCGAGTTGAGTTGTGTCGAGCATTTTCATTTCATTTTCAGTGCTTAGATCTGGCACACTAACCATGGCACTTTTGTTGAAATCTGCACACGTAATAATGGCTGTATTTTGAGTACCATTTGGTGTACTCTCTATCTTCTACTCTCGTTGCTGTGTTTCGTAGCGTTTTCCCTTCAAACAGTGCAGAATTAGATATAGATATGCTCAATCGGAACCACATCGAGTGGAATCATCGTAGCGAGAGCTGGGTAATTAGAACAGGAAAATAACAAAAAAGCGAAAAATAAATTTTCAAACATTTTCATCGGAATTCGAATTGTCGAGCGTGAAGCTCAAGGCTTGCAATTTGAATATACCAAACACACACACACACACCCATTCAACCCCATGGTCGATGGTAAAATAACATTGGTAGTAATGCATGGAACAGTGATTGGCGGAAGAAGACGAAGACGAAAAAAAAAACACAACACACAAAAACTAAACTAATATCGAAGATGATAAAGGAGCTGCAGATGTGTGAGATGATATGATGAAAATAAAATTGATGGCATTCGGGCGTTGAGCGATAAATTTGCCATCCATTCGAATATATGCTCTCGCGATAAAAGTGAAAAAAGAGTAGAGAAAATGGAAAAAAGGAAATGTGTTTCAATGCAAAAGAGCGAACAATGCGACGAGTAATACGAGAAAAGTATGGCGATGTGTGATACAAATAATATCATTTTTTCACAAATTGAATGACTTCACTCCGGCGAACGCAATAACATGAAGCGGAGCACTAGCTTCTGTCGCTGGATTATGTGTGCATAATTCTACTTCGATTGGCATCGATGAGTTTTCAAACCTCATAAATTACAGTGGCAGCCCGGTCGAGCACACACACACACATACATTGCAAATGATGAAGGAGAGAACAAGAAGCGAAAAAAAACCAACTCACATCGCATTTGTCTGCTGAGCTAACAATGCACATAAATCAGTCTAACCGAGATCCAAATAGATTGGAAGCGAACGAGAATGGAATAAAAAGAGAGTGATCATAATACAGCAAAACAATACAAAGTAGTTTGTGCTGAGCCAATGCATTCAAACTGTTGACACATATAAAAAAAATGTCGAAATGAATTGAACGCGTACGTATAAAAAAATCCATTTGGATCCAAGATTCGAATAAGCAATATTCTGCACGCTGAACAGCCAATGGGATTTCGATGAGCGTTACTTTGTGCCAATGCACATTGGTACACAACCATTCTTAGTTCAAACAATTTTTCATTTACAACGCTCCATGTGACCCATTCATTTATTCACCATCAAGAATATTATTTCTACACTTTGATACTTTGTACCTACGTTCATACTTTCAGCTTTCTCTCCTGCTCGCTTTTACTCTTGCTCTCTCGCACATTGGCGCTGTGTCAAATGAAATCCATTACTAATTTAAAAGGCTTTTTGAGCTTCATGTTCCTGACTGCAAATTGCATTTCATGCTGCCATCAGCAGTTGAATGCGTTGGAGCCAGCGTGTTGACATGCTTCTGACGGGGCTTGACTAAATATTTTTTTTTATTGTTGCCTTTCTCTCTGTTTTCAAAATGAATAATTCACACGCAATCCCCTGCATCGAATGCAAAATTCAAATCATCGTATTTTTTAATGGCGGACATTTCACTCGTGACGCCCGTTTCGAAAATAGCAACATTTTTATTAAGTTTAACACGGTTTTTAAAATCACCACAATATATGCCTGAAATAGTATGGGCGGTGAAAATGTAAACAGCTAAAAATAATTCATCGCAAAATCGATGTATCAAATACAAAAGAACACAATTTGTTTCTTTCAATCCTCATTCACACGGAATGAATAATGACAAAATGCAACAGGATTATGTTTCAACTATTCCATTTATTCAATTAAGAAATATATCTATTGAGTTGAGTGCATTCACATTTTGATCTTTGTACGATTTTATTCTATTGCTTATGGTATCTGAATACGTTACAATAGATTCTGTGATAAAAATAGAGCATTTAGCTACCTAATTCAAATAGTTTGTATTTTACTATACATGTCTCTCCTACACAAACAGTATGAATAAGGATTCTTACAATAAATTATGCATTTACACACACTCTTGAGTTCGTCTATTGTTTTTCATCCTTTCTACTTCACTCCATTTAAATAAATAAATACATTAACAAAACTTAAAATTTTGAAGTGATGATGGTGGTTACGTTACAATCACTGCATATTTCATTAACAATGGTTGTTTAGCTTTGAGATACAGCTGACTTTCTGCACAGCATCTAGCGCCTATTAAAATTATTGCTGTGAATAATTGCTGAGCTAGTTGACTTGTATACCAAGTTATTTAAAACTAAACGGGAATTTATATTCGAATGATGAATTTATGAATATTGAACCGGATCTGCGAAGAGAGAAGATAAACAAAAGTACCATATTAGCAATTATCCGATATGTGGTTTTGCGGTCACGCCGCACTTAAATGCTATATGAATGAACCAGAGCAACCAAAATGCCTAGATTAAATCTATCAAGCATTGGTTGTCAGGTTATTATCATAGGACAAACCTTTTGAAATCTCTGTGTGTGTGTGTTTGTTTTTTATTAGTGGTTGTTTTCATCCGTACTGGAATCCTTTTTGAACAAATAACGACTGGCCATTGAATAAACTAAGCCCAAGCACAGAGCTCCAACGACAGTTCCTTGCGCAGCAACACGCAACTGCATTAAATAAATACTCGTTGTCATTTTACCGCGGTTTTTGTAGTTGTATGCACCCAATGCTGCCACTCCAAAGAATCCAGCCATTCCTGTAAATAGACGTATATGTATCATTTAGGTGGTCGGTCAGAAGACATCAATTCAAATGTAAGAACAATAAATCAGAGCTTGATTCGATTACAATGATCTTTGTTTTAAAAATAGCGGGGAAACAGTATAGTGTAAGAAAGAGACGGAAGTAGTTGTACCATGGTCGTCGCCTATAAAACACCGAATCAAATATAACAAAGTACACGAGCGTGACCTTGATCATGAAAAAATGCCAGATATTGCACGTAAATTTCGGGAAAAATCGCATTTTGTTCGCAAAAATTCTTTTGAAAAGGCAAAACTACGTCAAATAATGAAAATAAACGATGAAAATTTTGATTAATAGGTGGTTGGTCACAGCTGATGCAATAAACTGCTTATTTGATGTAATTCATACTATTGCCTCAATAAATTCACACCTCATCATGAAAACGCAGTCTTTTAAATCGAAATATCGCGAATCGTAACCATAAAAATCACTTTAAATCAATGGAAATTTACTTGATCATCACTTTTGACCAAATTAGATGCTTCAATCATTCGATTAACATAGTTTGGATCTCACACGACACAAGCAATACACGCACTTGAACTCAGTTGAACGAAATGAGGGACAGTTCTTTTTTTTGTGTCTGTCGAAAATTCGGTTTCATAACAAAAAATTTGTATTTCTATTACCTATTGGTACGAACGGCGAATCCTTCGATTTTTGAATCAATTTGCTCATTCGGTCTTCTGATTCATATTCGGCGAATGCGGATTGATTCGACATTTTTACTTCCTGATTTTAATTTATTTGCAAAAAAAAATTTCACAATTTTTTCTGAATGAAGTTTTTATATTTTTCGTCGCAAATATTGCGTTGACTTTGATTTAATTTGCAACTGAAATGTTTTACTCAAGAAAAATTTCCACAAATACTTCTAACAATCACAGATTTATTGAGCGCTACTCGGAAACCCGTATCGTTTTGTACGATGTACAATTGTTAAGTAATGATGATTTCTCACTTTGTGTGATTCAAGTTCATATTTGACAAGATTCGAAACGAAGGAGAAATTTATCACGTGAAAAGAGAATAAAAAATCATGTTCTCTTACGTCATACACATACAAGCCACGCGCATGTTTCATTGTGTGAAGAACACAAAGACCGAAACGTCAACCGCTCTCTAGCTCACTCGGTGGAGTGAGTGTAGCCCGAAAACGTCAAACTTCGTTCGCTTGCTCTTTCGGCGGTTCTATTCGAAATTCGTATGGAACAAATTGAATATGGAATGATTGCTAGGAGACAAGTTAAAATGGCTGTTGCGTTTGTGTTTGATGACAATTTTCAAGTTATTTTAAACTTAAGCACAATTGACGCGTTGCATTCGAGAATCACTCAAAACTTTGCAAGTAAATGGTAAACACTATTTTTGTCTTTATTTCGGGTAAAAAGCAACCAAGACACTTGCCTCAATACTTCGACTTCTATCGTACTTGTCTGTTGCTGTGTGTTTTCGTGTCGAATTTACAATTCCCTGAAGGCACTTCCATGGAAATGTTAAAATGTTAGACAAAATGAAATGCGAACCAAAATTTATTCTCATCAGATAGTTCATTTAATGGTAATAAATGACGTTTTCCAATAAATGGCTTGTGCTTCAAAGAAACTCTCTCTTGGCTTCAATTTAATTAACACTGTACGAGGTGTGTGCCTGCACTGTGCAGTATGCATCAATGAATTCGTCGAGAAACTCAAAAGAGAAAACGTACACGTCGAAGATGTTACGAATGTACAACTGTACATATAGCTGTAGAAAACTTTGTGTCCATGCTCATTAAACATTTCTGATAAATTGAATTTGGAACGATGAAATCAAATAATGCATAAGTGATGAAGAAAAACTTTGTTAGTAACCAATTTATCCATTTTCCACAGTGGAGACATGCACAGCGAAAACTTTGCGACGTGTGTGTACACGACGTTGCAATAAAGTTTGGCCAGACACATTGTGGTTTGTAATTGAAATGATAAATTCTCGGTGGTGATAGAATTTACTCTAGCTCGATTGATATTTTGAAATCATTTTCTTTTGGCCGTTACAGTTGTGGTGGCGTCATTCACTTTTGTGATATTTCTGTTGTTTTTGTTTAATTATGAAAAAAAAAACCTGTTTTGATTCTACGTTACAGAAGCCCATTGTGTTGGGCGTTTTTTTTTTCAAACTGGCTCATCGGCCACTTTGAATGGCTCATCAGTTTTGGTTCTCGTATCCGCCACCTGGCGCCGGCGGATCTGCAAGTAAGTTTTTTTATTCAAAATTCCACATTTTTCTATATTGTTTCTTTTGTGTTTTTCACATTGTATTGGTATTGCTTTTGAAATTTTGTTTTCGTATTTCATGTGAACATTGTTGCTATTGATGTTGTCTATGCAATTTGTTTAAACGTTTGAATTTGAACGAAAAAAAGAGCTATCCAAGTAATTTAAAAGTATTTTCCATATATATTCGAAAGTATATTTACGCTTGCTTTACGTCAGACTTTTTTGTGGAAGAATCGCTCTCCGGGTAAATCCGATTCGAGTGCCACACATGTTCCAGTGCACATGCACAAGTTTCCATGCACGATGAACATTGCACAAACAAACAGGTGGCAATGAGTTGCATTGGCACTTTTCGAGATAACGTCGAATGGGATTCTGTTGAGACGAAGCAACAAAAACTCTGATATTGGTTTTAGTTGATTTGTCATTGTTTGAATTACGTTCTGTTTTCATGTGTCTGTATATAAAAATTAAATAATGTAAACAATAAGAATTTTCTTATTTCTGGCTTTTGTTATTGTCGTTATTGTTGTTGTTGTCGTTGAAACTAATTGTTGCTTTTATACTAATGGTTTGCTGTGTTCGCTGTTTTGTTGTTCAGTTTGTATTTTGATGTAACATATTTTGGGGTGTGCATATAAATCGCCTTACGCAAATCGCATATCACAAAGGAACAAAGTGGAAAATGCAATAATTCTATCGAGTCACATATGTATACATGTTATAACGGACATGAATGACTCTGTTCACTTTTTTCCCGTACATAATAAATCAATTCGCAAGAGCAATTTACGGCGGAAATCTGCTTGTAAAGCGATTACATTGAAGCGATGTAATTCGCATTGTCTGTCAAGTGAATCAGCATAATCTTCAATTTATGAATGGTTTTTCTTCGATTTTATTATACCCGACATGGACTTTCGCTACTCTTCGACACATACATACAATGAACAATCCAATGAGATACATTATATACACCCGCTCTCTCTCTCTGTGTTATACTAACTCGCTCACTCACTCATCCCTTACAAAACAAATAAAGTAAAATGAAAAGCTTGAACGAGACAAAAGAAGCAAATGCACGTAGATTATGTTGTTAGGTGGCCGGAGATTGATGTTCGTGCTTTTGTAAGCATCGTCAAAACAGATTTGTGCAGAGAAAGAGAGAGAGAGAGTGCAAGGCTTAAAATCGCTCCCGACCTTTCTTCGTACCCGCTACATTTTTCCTTTCATTTCATTCCACCATTTTCCATTCATAGCTCGCTTTGTCTACACAATTCATTGTTCCAGCTCATGAAAATTGCATTATCCCAATATACTATTACATATATATATACGTATATAAATGGTATAAAATAAAACTAAATTGAATGCTACAATACGAATTAAAAGTTCCGTTCTTCCTTATTATTAGCTAGGTTGATTTTTGTGTGTGCTTTTGCTCTTAAAAGGAAAATTTCGTGTTTGCTATTTTTGAACATATATATCTGTGTGTGTGTGTTTGTGTACGTTCCATATTTATGATTTGACAAGCGACCGCAAACTAATTCCACCGAGATATTTCCGTGCTATTATTAAAAATTCCACAGGCAAAAATTCGGCACAGACGGACGAAGAGAAGCAGCGAGAGAGACAGCGCAACGAACGTGAGATCAAGCACGCAGAACTTGAAGCACAACATTTGAAGGTAGACTGTGGCGTTTTTTTCTTTCTTTTCTTCGAAGCGATTTATTTCTCTTTGGATAACGAATTTTGATGATTTTCCACATCCTTTTGTCGATATACACATACACAGAGAGAGCGTGAGGTGCGCGAAGCTCGTTTATTAGAAAAGGAAATTCGTGCACAAGAACGCCATCATCAGTCGGAATTGAAAAAGCATAAAGAAGCTGTTGCTGCTGCGGCCGAACTACAAAAACACGCGACACAAGTGCACACACAGCTGAGCCAGTTACATAAGCATATCCCCGGCACACCACTACAGACTCCCCGTTCGCCACGCGATTCACTCGATAAAACCGACACGAAAAGTCGCTCACATCACGATCCAAAGGAAAAAGGTGAAGCGCTGGCGACTACAAGTGCATCCATATCTTCAGCGGTATGTTATCGGCTCTTTTGTGATTTCTTTTCGTTCAAATTCAATGACATTGCTTTATTTCTTTTGTTCTAGGATCCAAAAAGCCACTCATCATACGGTGGCCAAACGCCAAGCACAGGTGTTGTGGCTGGGCAATCGATACCATTAGCTGCACTCGCAACCGTGGCGCCGATTTTACCATTTGGCATAACAACACTTCGCGATGATTCCACCGAAAGCGATCAATCTTTAATCGGGTCACAGCCTCAGCCTGAGGCTCTTCAACGCTTCATGTAAGTTCAAACAGCAATTTTAGTCTCAAACAAAAAAGAAATATGTATACCATAAAACATTTTATCAAGAAAACATTCGCCACAAACAACAACAACAACAACAGTAACAGAGAGCCATGCACACAGAAGAAACAAAATTCTTTGCATCTAACGCAATTACGTATTGTTAAGAGAGTTGGGAAGTCATCAAAGCAAACACAGTTGAAAGAACAATGCAAAGTTTATGATTGATTCGTGGAACGTGAACTAGTTACGAAGATTCAAGTGATTAATAAGAAGAGTAGAGTGTAGTGAGAAAGGAAAACATTCCCTTTTCAATGAAGTTTCGTCGAACGGGGCGAGAGGAAAAAAGAAAAGAATTAAACGAAAAATGATTCATTTAATTTCCGTATCGTGAAAGTTTTCCGTCGACTTGTCTAGGATTTAATTAAGTGGCGTGCGCACGTTTCTTTTCCTTCTTTTTATTACTTACCCTTTGCCGGATGAAAATTCGTTTCATCTTTCGAAATTGCTTTCGTTCAAGTGCTTGGAAATGCAACAAAAGAGAAATTATTGTTCCAAAGTTCCTTTTGCGGCCGCTTTGTTCCTGAATTTTCGTTCATTCAATCAATTTATGTGGCCGTTATTATGCACGCCTGCATACATACATTCTATTTCTTCTTCTTTTGTTGCTATCGCTTGTTATCAGCGCGGTCGAATGACATTTGATCCTTTCCACCCTCCGTTACCGTTTGGGATTCTTCATGAGATGGAACACACATAGCAGAGCACGTGCATCACGCACACTACTGCGGTCATAAATAATTGTATCGTAATCATGTACATACAACACACCTACCACAAGCACACCTACACATACTTGTGTACCTGATGCCTGCCACTGTCGAGCCCTTTATTAATTAACACCTGAACACCTCCATGCATCCCGCGATTTCCGCACAACACCAGCAAGCATTTTGCGTTGCATGCAAACACAGCTGAATGCCGACACAGCCGGACGTCGATCCGATCCCGTTGCTGGTGGTGACGTTTTGTCTGGATGTATTCTCACGTGCGCGCCTTTTCAGCCAGCCAGCCAGTATACAAACACACATATTTATGAATTCCGGCATGTTTGTTC